CTGAAACTTGTGTGAAGCCGTGATATCGCGTAGCTTTGTATTAATTCACTTGTAGTATGTATCTGTTATAACTCATTAGTTTTAGAAGTTCTAAAATTTCATGGTACCAAATTAGTCGATTATTAAATAATCCTTCTTTCTTTTCTTTTTTTTTTGGCTCCGGCACGGTTTATGCGTTAGCCAGTGTCAGGCAATAAGATTTTTATAATTCGTCGTTTTTATTATTTACAATTTATGAATAACAAAAAACGAAGGAAACTGTCCATGTTGGCCATTATTAATATCAGTCAGTGTAAGTATCAATTAAATTAGCAGCGTGGGACGATATAGATAAATTAGGTTGAGAAAGTAATTTTAACTGTTTTTTTTTTTATTATTCATGTTCTTTTATTTTTTAATATATTTTACAATGTTGTGTATTGGTCGGTCTGATGCTGGTGTGCGCGTCACTCCGCAGGTGCCGGCGGAAGATCAGCGCCGCAGTACCGATTGTTTCGTTACTGTTAGGCATTGCTGAGCCGGTAACCGTTTCCAAGCCTCGTTATTTTTGTTATCTTTTTTATTTATTTTTTGTACTTAATTTGTGTTTGGAATAAATGTTTATTATTATTATATTATTATTATAAAACTACTTAAATCAAAATCAAAATCAAAATCAAAAAATTTTTATTCAACATAAATGAAAGTACATACTTGTTGAACGTCAAAAGAACTACCGCTTAGCTTCACTACACTACACTAGCCACGAATACTTCGAAATAAATAAGAGATTTATACACTTAACATTCAACCAAGCCATGACCATAACCATCATGACTACACAAGACTATGAATAATAAATAAAAAACAGATGTATGAAACAACATGTTTGATAAAAGAATCTATATTATTTGCTTTGCCAACGATCCACCTCCGGCCAGTTCATCTCAACAGTGTCCGTAACTAGTGTTTTTCACACAAGTTTTATGCGCTATTATTTGCAACGGATATAAAACCGACGTTGGATTTACTGCCGACCGGACTAATCCGGGTAGCATAAAGCCGGTGTGCAAACCCCTTTATGTTGTGCTCTACAATAAAATCTACGGCTTATGTATTGTTTATATATTATGTGCTATTACCACTTACCTACGTGTGTTGAGACAGAATTAAATTGGCGCTAACTTTTTATTCACACAGCTCAAGTATTTACAACTTCTTTATCAGAAGCGTAGGGTCTATTTTGGTACGATATCTAGACTTAGATTTCAAATTCTACTTATCTTTTACTACATTAACGTTAAGCAAAACTTAATTTATGTGATTAAGTTAAACGTTGGAAGTTAAACAGCCTTAAGCTTGCATTAAGGGTCCCCTATATTCAAACCCCGTATGACAAATATGTTTAGCAAACATGCTGACTTCGACCGAGAATAATGCCAATAGGAAGTTAATTATAACGCCTTATGTCGTCTTGGTCTAGGGGATAAGATGCCCCGGTGTTTGTGTATTGAGCGATGCGACTGTGTCGGTGTTCGAATCCCGCAGAACGGTATCAATGTTTCTAAAGAAATACGTATACGTAACTCACTTTCACGGATGACTGCCACGATAAAGGAAGAACGCCGTGTAGTAAAAATTATAAAACTCACAAAAANATAACGGTTTTGGTCGATTAAGCCCCACAAGAATGTGCTCCGTGAGGCGGTGCACCTGTTGAACGCATGAGTGATTTGTACGGAATCCGAATTGTTCATCGATGAGAATGCCCTTGGATGAGACGAAGTCTCTGAGGCGTTTGTAGAGCAGACGCTCATACAGTTTGCCTAGAGACATGAGGAGGCTAATCGGGCGGTAGCTCGTCGGATGATTTTTTGGTTTACCGGGTTTATGTATGCCGATAACGTCCGCTTCTTTCCACACCGCGGGAAAGATACAGTTCGCCATAGCGGCATTGAAAATAGATGCCAACATCACGATGAGTTGGACGGGTAGAAGTTTAATAACGCGGTTGGATATACCGTCGGAACCGGGCGCTAGGTAAGTATACCTTAACGTGATTGCTGCCCTGGCGATCTTTCGTTCGGCACCTTTGCGCAATTCAGTATCGTCCGCTTTCTTTATCGCTAATCAAATACGTCGTTGTTGACTATTTAGTTTTCAAGCGACCACGGGATACACTATTTGAGCAAATTTTCCATATCAGAAGTGTTCAAATCAATAACGAATCGTGGGTGCGTTCAAGTAGTGTTCACTGCGTACACGTCATTAATGTTTTATTGACAGTCCGACAGAAGCACCCGCCGCCTGCGGACGTGCTCATCGACCACTCAATCGCCCGGCCATTGTTCGCCTGGTTTTATTGTTAGCCCGGCCTTTGTTCACCCGGCTTTTGTTCGTGGCACATCTGCCGACAAAGTGTGTTCCTGGAAGTGTTTGTTTTGTTTTGGTTTATTTTTGTAGTTTCCTTTTTTTTGTTGTTCTTTCTTTTTNGTGTATTGGTCGGTCTGATGCTGGTGTGCGCGTCACTCCGCAGGTGCCGGCGGAAGATCAGCGCCGCAGTACCGATTGTTTCGTTACTGTTAGGCATTGCTGAGCCGGTAACCGTTTCCAAGCCTCGTTATTTTTGTTATCTTTTTTATTTATTTTTTGTACTTAATTTGTGTTTGGAATAAATGTTTATTATTATTATATTATTATTATTATAATTTGAATAATGTAGTAATTAACGCTGCAAATGATAATATGAAATGAAATGAAATGAAGTTGATTAATATTATGAAACATAGCATGAAATGAAATGAGATGAGATGATATGGAATGAAAATATAATCTCGGTAAAATGGTGGTCATTTACTTAAGACTTTCTCAGTGGACTTTGTGGAGGATCCCGAGAAGTTACGTCCAGCGGCTTTGTTTCATTTTCCCATATTTGTGCACTTTCACAGATACTAAACAGTTAATAAACGACCGTTATTACACATTTAAACCAAAAGAAACACTAAATAGACAAAATAAAACAAATCACACAACTTTACTCCTCGCGTTCCCACCAAAAAGCCCAATATTAATAATGATAATAACTGGAACCAAATAACGCACAGTCATCCGGCCCCAATTTAAGATTCCGTGTATTATGGGTACCAGACTAAAGCAAATGAACAGAATTCAAGTCACTCCACTTGGAGACACGCCCCAGCTTTCTTCACTTCAGACACAAGTTTTGATCGCCTCTCTTGTACCACGCTTCGAGAGAGACTCTGATGGCCGAGATATCGCGCATCCCCCATGCTATCATTCCCATAGCAATGCATGCCATCAATAGATAGCATCTCATTGATAGAGTAGATGCCCATTATTATTAAAAGAAATCAAAATAACATGCGAATTCTCAAACTATACTGAGACCTTAGAACATATATCTCAAGATGGGTGGCGCATTTACGTTGAAGATGTCTATGGGCTCCAGTAACCACTTAACACCAGGTGGGCTGTGCTCGTCCACCCATCTAAGCAATAAAAAATATATATAATCTTCATGACAATTAAATTTTCAAACTCATGTCTCAAGGTGGTGGTAATACATATAATGGTAGTAATTTCTCAGCACCAGGTAGCTCGCGAGCTTGGCTACCAGTGTATTAATAAAACACATCTCCCACACTGAAAATTGTAAACGTTACAAAAACAAAATCTTACTTCATTAAATGTACAATTTACGTATAAAACAATGCCCTATCCTAAATATTATGCTCTTTGGCAGTTTCAAAGGCGCTTTAAATAACTCTTAGCTTTCAATCCCGACCACGATATTAAACGGAATTTCAAAGACCGCGTATTGCCAATGTCCTAATTGGCAATTATTCGCCTATGACCTCCCGAGATTCATATCCTGAAAAATCTTCCGCAACTTCCAATTTCAATTTTTTTTTTTTTTTTTTATTGCCCTTGTAGGCAGACGAGCATACGGCCCACCTGATGGTGAGTGGTTACCGTCGCCCATGGACTTCAGCAATGCCAGGGGCCAGAGCCAAGCCGCTGCCTACCGCTTAATACTCTCCACAAGCCTCGTTTGAAGAAGGACATGTCATAGCGCTCGGGAAACACCGTGGAGGGGAGCTCATTCCATAGCCGGATGGTACGTGGCAAAAAAGACCTCTGGAAACGCACTGTGGATGACCGCAGTGGCTCCAGGTAGTATGGATGAACTCTACTCCGGTGGCGGGCGGTGCGATGGTAAAAACGAGATGCCGGTATCATCTCGAACAATTCCTCAGAGCACTCCCCATGGAACATACGGTACAAAATACAGAGGGAACCGAAGTCCCTCCGCAGACCCAGAGGTTCCAAACGATCCGTGAGAATGGGATTATCGACAATCCGAACGGCCCTCCTCTGTATGGAGTCAAATGGAAGAAGCTGGTATTTGGGAGCCCCGGCCCAGAGATGGGAGCAGTACTCCACGCGAGGCCGGACTTGTGCTTTATAAAGCAAAAGCCTTTGTCCAGGCGTGAAGTACCGCTTCGCTCTGTTGAGGACTCCCAGCATTTTGGACGCCAACTTGGCTTTGCCTTCCAAATGACTCCGAAACTGGACATCGCTCGAAATGTCGACCCCAAGTATCCCAATACTCTCGGAAGGTTGCAGGGATACTCCTTGGAATTGCGGCGCCATGACAAAGGGGTCCTTCTTCGCAGTGAACGCGCAAACTTGTGTCTTTAACGGGTTGGAGACTCGCCCCAAATATGCAATACGTGTGTATCACGGGTGTTTTTTTTACACGGTGAAGGAGTCACGCGGTCGGTCTCATCATTCTGTCTCTTTCTTCCGCGAAGCAATCATTCAATTTCAAAGATAAGACAACAGTATTAAAATATTATCGAGACTTTGACCTCATATCTTAGGTATCGTTTGCGTACCGAGATATATGTGAGATTTAGAAACCTCTTAATAGCACTCACCTATAGCAATGAAAAAAAAAAGAAAATTTAAATATTATAAATAAAATAAAAAATTTGGGATCAAACAGTTTTATTGGCATATTTATAATTTTTTCAAGTCATTCGACGAATAATAAAAGTAATACGCTATCACGGTATAGTTGTGTTCATGAAAGTCAAGTAAAAAAATAGAAAGTAATCTAAAAGGGACCGGATTTTTCACAGGCAAATCGGAATTAATTCATTGTTTTTGAACATTCACGCTATCTTGATACATGAGATTTGTGACGTCACAACACTGAATCAATAACGTAAACAATATTTTGTACAGTCACTTGTGCAAACTTCAGGGATCGTCCAAATGCTACGCGCCATTACCATCTCGTTTTAAATTTAAATAACACGTAAAACAATTGGTTTAAGTTAATTCAATTTCATTAACAATAGCTTATTCAGTTTGAATATGCTTGAAAACAAGATTCGGTTATAAGTGAGACTCTGATACTTTTCCTAGTGACGTCACGAGTCGGTCACCTATTTTAGTTGCGATGTTGGTCGTATCAAAAAAACGTCTTTACTAAACGGGTACATCACAGAAATCACGTGATTAAAAACGATGACAGCCTAAACAGTTCACGCCTTCCCTGATCAACATTGATTGGCATCCAGAGCTACCGTATTAAAACGCCTTACTGATGACAAGGTCAACGTCCCCTTAACAAGTTTGACAGGTGTCAAACATTGTGCTTCCTCTTCGCCGAAGGTTTCTCGAATACTTGTTTCATTCCCCCGCGGAAGTTAGTCAGTCTGGCTGCTGAGGTTTCATTGCTCCAAGCGGAGTCGAACTCCGTAGTGTCTTGATCGACCAAATGTGTGTATTTCGTACGACCGGAACGTCCAAACTTCTTGACTTGCATAACCTAAAACAAACATAGGATAAAAATAGGTAATTGGAGTTATTGGACCGTTTGAGGAAAATCTCTTTCGAGAATTAACTTGACCTACTTTTTTTGCAAAGATTTATGTACTTTATGATTCATGTGCCCTATCCGTGTATTGTCGTAAGTCGTTATGAATTAATTATCAGAAGGGAACCAATTAAAATTATTTTAGTATCCTTTAGACCAGGGATTCCCAAAGTGTTTGACATAACGCAAAACTGGGCTTCAGAGACGACTCTATAATGTAAATGTATAGAATCCTCGAAACGAAAACGCATCATTACATTAGATGGTACTACTCGATAGCCAGCCTTCGAGATTTACGTTACCGTATGTCAAAACAATTTTCGTGCTCTCGATTATGAATATACGTTTCGAATTTCGAGAACGTGACAATTTGATTGCGAAACGAAAGTATGGTAAATTCATTCGCGCTGCTTAAATTAATACTTTTTACGGATAGTAGGGGCACTATTTAAATCCTATACATTTTATCTCGATAGCGATATGAATACATACTTTTTCGATAGTCATTCGTGCTCGCCCCTAGATCCCCAAGTCACTCACTCGCTCGGTACTATACAGTTACTGAAGAACACTAACTACCGCGACCCATATTGAGTTATATAGCCACATTTGTATTTAACACGTTTCTATTAGCTTGACTTGTATCTATTTATACAACGCAATATTTCAACTGTAATTTTCATACGGCAACACATCCGATTAGCAATTTTAATTTGAATATGTACTTATCAAGGACCAATAAAATAATTTTACTATTTCCATCGAATACCCTGATCAGAAAAATCAGACCGAAAAAAATATTGTATCTTTTTGATCCGTGTTTACATGTTACAGTTTACACTATTTTTACTTATTTTACTCTTGAAACTTATTGAAAATTTATACCTTTGGTAAAACTGTCTTGTCAAAATGATCATCCAGCGTAGGACCCGAGAAGTCCTGTTTGAAAACATCTTCTTCTTTATCCAGATAAAAGGCACCTCTAAAAGTAAAAAATATAATCGTTAATAAGTTTAATAGTTTTCATACTCAGCAATTTTATATGCCACAAATTTTATGGTTATGAATTTTAATAATTTTCATATTAAGTAAAATTATTTTTTTATACAATCACTACATAGTATAAAACAAAGTCGCTTTCTTTGTCCCTATATCCCTATGTATGCTTAAATCTTTAAAACTACGCAACGGACTTTGATGCGGTTTTTTTAATAGATAGTGATTGAAGAGGAAGGAATAAACGCATTTGAAATGTGGTGCTGGAGACGAATGCTCCGAATTCCGTGGACGGCCAAGAGGACAAATAAATCTATCCTGGATCAGCTTCCCATCCGAGTCAGGCTCTCAACAATCTGTTACCAGAGGATCCTCAGCTACTTCGGTCATATTGCCCGCCGACAGTCAGATAACTTGGACAAAGTGATTGTGACGGGCAAAGTAGAAGGAAAGAGACCCCGCGGCCGATTACCTAGCCGTTGGTGTGATCAAGTAACCGCTCTAACTGGGTTGCCAGTCGCAACCGCCATTCGAGCAGNAAAGTAGAAGGAAAGAGACCCCGCGGCCGATTACCTAGCCGTTGGTGTGATCAAGTAACCGCTCTAACTGGGTTGCCAGTCGCAACCGCCATTCGAGCAGCTGAGGACCGGACGAGATGGAAACAGCTCACGAGACAGGCAACGGTCAAGTTTCAGGGACACGACCTTCAGCAATGAAGAAAGCGACGAAGAAGAAGAAGAGGAAGGTTTATATGTATAATAACATCCATTAAATAGTGGAGAAATAAATAATTAATTACAGTTTCCGAAGCGAAGCGAGGGCGGGTCGCTAGTTTTTAAATGATATGTAGTATGAATTTTACCTGTGATAGTATTTCTGCAGAAACTTGTATTTTCCTTTGACTGCTTTATTTGTGACAACCTTTGGATTGATACGTTGTTCGAGGCGTCGCTCATCTTCGGTCATGTTGCGTAAACGTTCGAGAGTTAACATCTCTTTTTCGGCACTGAAATAAAAATGAAAATGTTACACTGACTAAAAATCGACGGCCACTAAAATACATTAAAAATGTTTAATACTGACTAAAAGTTTAGTCTCTTAGTATAACATTATTCGTTGTGAAACTTTAACATAGTTAATTTTATTAAAATTCCGAGACTGAATTCTTTAATCGTGCGATCTAAAAAATAAATTGTGATTTCAAATAACAATCACTGATAGAAAATCATTATCAGCTGCAGTCCTGACACGGGATTGACTAAATACATCAGCTGCAGTCTGAGATAATTTGGGCCAGAATAACATCTACGTGGATAAAATCTTAGCATATCTCAGCCTATCAGCATAACATCTACTTCACACAATCAAAACCCAAAACGTGGAACTCATATTTGAAATATGAGACGACTATTAATTTTAAAACAGAGTGAAGCATAAGTCTTGTACTAACTACATATATACCATGGGTTAATAATAATACTCGGCAAATCTAAGGACCTCAGATTCTCACTTAGTAACTTAGCTTTTATTGCTCTAGCCAGGCACACTAGCTCTACCTACTGTAATGTTCAGAGAATACTGCTTCCCATCTTACAGTATATCTCTTAAAGGCCTTTGACGACATTGCGTATTGATGGTGAATACTGTTCTACCGTATAGCAGATACAGTTGAATTAACCTACAGTGTGCGCGCGAGTTCGTGTCCATCGGGGCCAGAGGTGACGCACGGGGGGCAGCTCGCCCCGCCCCCGTCCGCCTCCCCGCGTTTGTCTGACGTTTAGTGTTGTCTTTGACAGTTGTGACGCGCGCTTATCGATATCGAAAATTTATTTATTTATTTATTTATTTAAGGATTACCGACAGGGTTTACTGTAAGATATAAAATAACATTGACATGTATAGAGCAATTGATAACTGCAACTCTAATTATAGGCAATCACAGCATGTATTACATTAATATATTAATAGAGATTTAACAATACTATTAATAATAATAAAAAATTAAAAACAAAAGAAAGACAACAAGGGCAGTAATACCCGAGTACTCAGACCAAGGCTAACGCTATTGTGTTATTTCATGGTGAATAAACTACGACTACTTCGCTTCCAACAAGTTCAGGTAGAAAAAAACCTACACTGATTCAGACTCTGATCTGTCGGTTATCTTTTCATCTGATAGTAATTGAATTGGAATTTAAAAAATATTTTTCTCTATTAGAAATAAATAAGTAATTACTTACCACATTTATTTTATAATTTGCAAAATGACCTAGTTACAATAAGCCAAATTGACAGCTATTGACTAAATCGGTAGTTATTATCGACACCATAATTAACTAGGTCACAGCACTACCGCATTCCTCAGGATGGACATGAACTCGCGCGCCTACTGTAGAAGAAAATAGCTTCCAAATGAATAAGTTTAACTTACGCTTCCCTTTCTTCTTTATCTCGTTTGATACGTTTCATTTCACGCAACTTCCAAGCTTCATATTCCAGTTCGTCATTTTCATCATCTGTACATACATCATTTATATTCCCTTCTTTTTGTTCTCCCTAAAAGTATGTTTAAAAGATTTAAATTGTGAAGAATAAAAACAGTGTGATTAAATATTTGTTTTATTCGTAATTTCGCATCACTATTAATCAGCGTTTTTATAAGAAAATATAAATCATCTAAAACTTTAGCAGTCAACAGACTATTGATGCATAATATACTTTTTTTTATTGCCCTTGTAGGCATACCAGCATATGGCCCCCTTGATGAGTATTTACCGTCGCCCATGGACTGGGCCAGCAATGTCAGGGGCAGAACCCCGGCTGCTGCCTACTGAACCACCTGCCTTCTCCTAATACTTTGATATTAAGTGAAGCATCAATACACCACATTTATATACGTTCACATGTAAACAACATGTTTAAGACTTTATATACAAGGTTACCGACAATCGTTAGTAAAACAATTATTATTATTACATATTGATTTTGATTTCATAAAATTTATATTTTAAAACCCGATACTAAACCTGAGCACCCCGCTGTTCAGACCGAATTGTTTCCTCTACTAATTTAAGGGCTTCCCGTCGCCTTTCTTCTTTTTCTTTTCGAGCTTCAGCCTCTTCTCTTTTCTGCTGTTTCATTTTACGTTCTCTCTCTGCCACTGTCATACGCTCCGATGCTCTTACAAATACTGGTTTCACCCTTGGCCCTGGAAAAGGCCAACTATACATAAATTATGCAGTGTACTATGATGGCATAACCTGTGAATTGCAATATTGAAATTCCTTTACTTTTACTTACCTCCATTTAGAAGAAGCCCACTAAATATGAAGCATAATTTGCAGAGATTACTTGACGCTTCTAAGTAATATTTACAAGTTTTTTTATAATTTGAATACTAACCAGTATCTTCTTCACTGTCTGTGTACTCTGTATCTGATGAGCCGCTTTCCTCTTTGTCACCTTCCAACATTTCTTCATCTTCATCTCTACCGAGTACTTCTTTTTCAGCTTCCCTACCATTTAATAAATTGATAATTTTATTACATTCAGACGTATTTAATATTTAAGTTCGTAATGCACCTTTTTTAAAAAACACTTGTGCTAACAATGTCTTCCTTTTTTATTGCATAGGGATTGCATAGTGAAGAAACTCAAAGCACATGTGAATTTAAAAACTAATATGTTCTACATTTACCTGGCTGCAAGTTTTGCTCTTAGAGCCTGTCTGCGTCTTTCAATCTCTTCCTCATCCAGTTCATCTTCACTCTCGGAACTATCCCTCACGTCATGATCACTGATCTCAGATTCTGCTTCAGGTTCTGCATCAATAATTTCAGGCTTGTGTTCGGCTCTACGCGGCGGTGATTGTGCAATATTACGGAGACGTCGTAATCGAGGATCATCAACCTTAAAAGTAAAATTATACATTTCTACAATGAAGTGAAAAAGATGCAATTAACCTTGACACTTCTGTTACGAGGTACAATTGAAGATGAGCTGCAGAGAGCAGTCCATTTATAGTATTTCTCATTAGTGTTGCTCTTTATAATTCCATATTCCATACTTCTAAGTTATTATTTTAAAGTTACCTCTTTCTCAGAATCGCTATGATGTTCTTCTTTGCGGGTGATTATTTGAGGTAAAACTTGTTTCCGTTCAGGTCTTTGTTGCTCTATAAAATCTTCTTCATCTGATTCCTCAGATGATGACATTCCTTGTGCATAGTCAGGCTTTTTTCCAGATATGTATCGCTGAACTTTCACCTTTTGCATTGAGATCTCACCTGAAAATGAAGCCAATTTATGTAAAATAAAATGAAAACTTATGAAATGCTTCAACTAAGCTGCATTGATTAATGTGAAAATTTCGAATCAATTAACTTTATTTTTATAGAATGGAAGTTTGAAAGCCAGTTTTTTTTTTAATTCATTTTAGGAATACATTATCGTACCTTTTTCATTTCTTATCGGAATTGCTCCCGCTGTACTCTGAATGCCTGTAGGTTGTGCTGGTAGGACATTCATCTTGCCAGTGTTTTCGTTTATAAATCAATGATAGTAGCTACTAGACCCCAATTATTCAATTTTCATTAAATATAAATTACTTGATTTCACAAAGCCTTGTTCAGTTTAGAAGATATTTTACCCATTAGTATCCTAAATTACAGTACAGATATATATACGTTTAGTATGATTAGCACTAGCCACAGATAAGTTACAGAATTTGACATTAGTTCAACAAAAATTTTTTTCAAACACGCAAATACCTTAACGAAGGGAATAAAGGTCATAAAGGCTGTTTCGTTTTAAAACTAAAATCATATCTGTTGTATGAAACTGCTTTAGGCGAAGAGGAAAGTCATAACTTTTTCACATTTACTAAATAAGAAGTAAAGTAAATTGTAAAAAAAAAAAGCCCGTTGAAGACTTTTTGCAAATTTATTTGCAACAGTGACCACTGATGGTGTAGTGTGTTAATGAGGTTTGCATACATGGCTACAGGATAGGCTGCAGAACATCGTTTATACATAAACCTTTAAAGTATACTTCAGTCCGTTTCATTGACCTATATAGTAGGGACACGACATATTGTTCTATACGTACAATTGCTTATACAAATGACACCCATTTTGAAGGCACACACATAAACATATATCTATCTCGTTCTTACTCAGCACTGTAACTCGCAGGAAAACAATATAACAGTATTTCAGTGCGTACATAAAATGAAACATGAATATACGTAAATGTCTAATGAGGCCGAAAATCCGTCATGCTTAGCGCACCAAATGTCATTGTCACGTCAGTTCAGCCGGTTTTTTTTTTAACGCTTTGAATGGTGGACGATCTCACAGCCCACCTGGTGCTAAGTGGTTACTGGAGCCCATGGACATCTATAACGTAAATGCGCCACACACCTTGAGATATAAGTTCTAAGATCTCAGTATAGTTACAACGGCTGCCCCACCCTTCAAACCGAAACGCATTATTGCTTCACGGCAGAAATAGGCAGGGCGATGGTGCCTACCCGCGCGGACTCACAAGAGGTCCTACCACCAGTATTTTGGGTTATTGACTTTGATATCGATTTAATATGATTGCTTATATAACATTTCTTATTTTATCATGCTACCCCGCTTAAACCATACAAAAATAATAATTAAAACATATTTAATAGGATCTCAAGAAAGTCGATGCCCCAAAACTAATAACTATATGATAATATATTTAAATTCATTATGGAGCACTCATCCTAAAAATCGGACACAATTTTTTCATATCACTATAATTTGTAATTTGTTGTTATAATAATTATAATTTGTCAATTTGTCAATGTTTTGTATTGATGATCACTTTGTTGGTGCAACTTAATAAATAAATAAATAAATAAAATAAATAAATAAATATCTGTATCACTGTCACTTAAGGGTTCGTTTTTATATATTGTGTGCATAAGTCTTCATCATTTTTTCATTTGGGTTATAATTTATACTATTAGCAGAATTTCTTAAAATGGATTGGCGTGCTAATATGTTGCCCTTGATGGTATTTGTGATTAATCTATTTCATTTTTTTTTGTTTTAATATCATTAATTTCGCGAAATTTCTTTCACATTCCGCGTTAGAATTGAGAAGAGATAGAATTTCATCACGAAATTTCTGCTTATAAGTTCTCTGTTTTTCGGCGTAGTGCCTTCGTCGTCGCTTCCACGAGCCGACATTATTAATGATATGTAACGGACGTCACGTCAGTTGGCATGCCCTGCCGCCAGCCAAGCCGCCAAGCCATGTTATAAGTTTATTGCACTTGGCTGAATTCAGACGTTTGAATTCAGAAGCAAATTTAGAAGCTTCTGGTTACACTATTCTAAATTCAGTTACTGAATCGATTGTCAGTTTAAACGCGACGAAGTAAGACGTGTCGTGTGCGTAAGAGGATGGCCCCAGTATTGTTAAACAACAATTTTTTTGTTTTTGTTTTTATGTTTTTTTTCAATTTCTCAAAATAAAAAGAAATAAAAACAAGAATTTCGGTGAAGAAATATTTATTGCTGTGCGGAGTGTTAGCAAATATGAACATTATGAGTGATTTAGAACCAGCAGACTTCAAAAAATATCTACAAATGGATTCGATCTCGTTTGACCTAATATTAAACCTTGTGACACCGTTTATTCAAAAGCAGAGTACTATCCTACGATAGTCTATTATATATCTATTACATATTTAATTCTACGATAGTATAAGTCCAAAAGAAAGATTGGTTGTAACATTAAGATTTCTTGCAACAGGAAATTCGTATATACTTAAGGATTTAAAATTTAGTTCTTCAATATCCCAACCCCTGAACAATAATAAGACAAATCATGGGTGTGGGGCCGTGAACAAAACGAGAGTTTCGAACAACTGGAAAACCGTTATGCTCCATACCTACGCTAGCTTTGTATGATCCTATGCTTCCTATGGAAATACATACCGATGCGTGTATATTAGGAATTGCTAATATGCTATTACAAAAACAAACTGACAACTCTATTTCTGAGGTTATAAAAACTTCACATTAAGGCCCTATAAAAGTATAGCCCATATGTCCGATAGCGCTAGTAGTTCCGATGAGCAGCTCGAAACTGAAGACCTTATTGATTTATTATTATTATGTATTAAACACTGCCACGCCTGAGAAGACGGCAGGACACACTCCGGCGAGGTGGGAAACAATCGGCCGGAGCGTTAGGGACTATTGGGACAGAAACCGGCGAACTATACGGGCATTGTCGAGCAAGACTGCTTTTTGCATTTGGGCCACCACCGACTTTTTGTTGAGACCAAGCCTCTCGAGATGTTTTGAGAGGCTTTTAGGGATCAAACCATTCACCGACACAACTACCGGGATTATTTCTGTAGATATCACCCTCCACATGTCGGTCACCTCGTGCGCCAGGTCCAAATTTTTTTTATTTTTTTTATTGCTTAAATGGATGGATGAGCTCACAGCCCACCTGATGTTAAGTGGTTACTGGAACCCATAGACATCTACAACGTAAATGCGCCACCCACCTCGAGATATAAGTTCTAAGGTCTCAGTATACTTACAACGGCTACCCCACTCTTCGAACCGAAACGCATTACTGCTTCACGGCGGAAACAGGCGGAGTGGTGGTACCTACCCATGCGGACTCCCAAGAGGTCCTACCACCAGTGATTACGCAAATTATAATTTTGCGGGTTTGATTTTTATTACACGATGTTATTCCTTCACCGTGGAAGTCAGTCGTGAACATTTGTTGAGTACCTATTTCATTAGAAAAATTGGTACCCGCCTGCGGGATTCGAACACCGGTGCATTGCTTCATACGAATGCACCGGACGTCTTATCCTTTAGGCCACGACGACTTTTAGAGAGCTAAATGTTTTTGTGTGTTCCCCTTTGCGGGAGCAATTGTTGCAGGATGGCCGAATGTAACGGACGTGACGTCAGCTGTCATGCCCTACCGCCAGCCAAGCCGCCAAGCCATGTTAACACTCCCCCTTCTGCCACTGCCGCTAGCCAAATCCAACGAAGGGGGGATAGTGTTAATAAAACAAGCCATGCCGGCCATTTCTACCTGCTTTCTGCTTTCTTGCATAAATAAAAGAACTTGTCGTTACGCTGCTGGTTTTTTTTTGTCACATCATTTGCATCAGATAATTTTAAAAGTTATAAGTACTAATTATAATACAATTAATCCGAACAATCTAGCCACTGTTTCAAAATGAGCACTTTAATGTAACGTTATAAACTTACCTACTACTATCCGCAACATTACAAGGATAACATACAGTAAACAAAGAATATTCTAAATGTAATCATCTCAATTTTGTCAAATAATAGTTATTTATAATCTATTCCCCGTTCTGTGGGAATTCCCCGGCCCAAGAGGTAGGTAATACATTAACTGCATTGTTCACCATAGATAATAGTACCTACACTTTATTTTAATGTTAGTTCACTTTGATGTACCTACCTTGAAATAATAATTATGGCTTGAGATGCCCTGTATCAGTTAATATGCTATATATAGGTCTACTGGTAATACTGATCAAAAAACTGAAAGGAAAAATAGTGTTGTCTATAAATGTCTAATTTAATCTATAAAAGGTCATTTTATTTCTCATTCTATTATCTTAACTTCTTATCACTTGTTTATTCGAAACTTTAAATAGGTATTTAGTTATCGCAATACTTACGAATTTAAGGAAGATTTTTTTAACCCGACCAATTTCATATCTTAGTTCATTGGATTCGTTTGAAATCAATATCGAAGTGGCAGTGCAAATTTCAAACCACATTCATCATTTTTCAACTACTTTCAACATTACATAGTGCAGATGTACCTAAAATAGTGCAGACAAGTTACTCTATCGAATAATTAAAACGCTATACAGTGTTACCCTTATCTAGTAAATATCTTTTATATATTGTGTACTGGACTGGTACATAATTATAGGGAACTTAAAACTGGTAAATTGTTTAGCTGTTACTCTAGTGATTTAAAATTGTAAAAAAGATTAAAAAGAAGAATAAGGGGAACAATTAACTTACAAAGAAATGGCTTCTGCAGAACTCACAAGTTTGGATGAAGTAATATCAAATTCATTAAAGGGTAAAGAACTAGAAGAGTTTAACAGAATTCACTATGGAAGAATAGACCAATGTGCTTTGTTTATCAGTTCCGATGCTGCCCAAAAAGCCGCTAGCAATGGATTTGAAATAAAAGCTTATGATTTTCCTGCAAGAAAAGAAGAATGCAGGAAACCTCGCATTGTAAGATTAGGCCTCATACAACATTCTATTGCTATCTCTACTGATAACCCAATTACACAACAACGACTAGCTATATTCGAAAAGGTTCAAAAGATCATATCTGCTGCAGCTGCAGAGCAAGTTAATATTCTTTGTTTACAAGAAGCTTGGAACATGCCCTTTGCATTTTGTACAAGAGAAAAGCAACCATGGTGTGACTTTGCAGAACCTGTGTTGACTGGCCCTAGCACAGTTTTTTTAGCAGAGCTTGCAGTGAAGTATGACATGGTTATCATATCTCCAATTTTGGAACGAGATGATGTTCATGGAGATACTATTTGGAATACAGCAGTAGTTATCAATGAATTTGGAAAGGTAATAGGAAAACACCGTAAAAACCACATTCCAAGGGTTGGAGATTTCAATGAATCTACATATTATTTTGAAGGTAATACTGGTCATCCAGTATTTGAAACAAAATATGGTAAAGTTGCCATCAATATTTGCTATGGTCGTCACCATCCACTAAACTGGCTAATGTTTGGTATCAATGGTGCTGAAATTGTATTTAACCCATCAGCAACAGTTTCAGGTTTAAGTGAACATTTGTGGGCAGTTGAAGCTCGCAATGCAGCTATAGCCAACAGTTATTATACATGTGCTATAAACAGAGTAGGAACTGAATCATTCCCAAATGAATTTACATCTGGAGATGGAAAACCAGCACATAAAGATTTTGGACACTTCTATGGTTCTAGCTATGTGACAGCACCTGATGGTAGCAGAACTCCAGGCCTGTCTCGAATTAAGGATGGTTTACTTATTGCCCAAGTTGATCTAAACTTGTGTCGCCAAATTAAAGACAAGTGGGGATTCACTATGACTCAACGCCTTGACTTATATGCTCAAAGTCTAAATGAAGCTATAAAGCATGATTATGTACCTCAAGTGGTACACAAGTAATAAAGATTCAATTTACCAATCATGAATCCTACAATTTTATTATAGTGTTACTGAACAGATCTGTTAATATTTGTTAAATCTGCTAAATTTTTAATTCTGTTTTAGTCTACTTTAATTTTTAGACATGGTGTTTCACTGCATTACAGATTTTAATAAAGATTATTAATTGTTAGAAAATGTTTTATTAAATGCAATAGATTAAAATAAAACAATATTTTATAAAACATTGTGTATCAATGAGAATAATACAGATGTGAGTTATACATAAATATAGGGATTCAATTGGGACACATTTGATAAAAATAAATATGTATTTCACATTGTGTTGTCAACACCTGGGTTACTGTACTATGTTTATTGAAACTGAGGACCACAACATGTGCCGAATTCATTTGAAATTGCCAATTTTTTTTATTATTAATTACTACAATAATGCTTAGCTTGTCATGTTGGTTGAGGTTGACAGATATAAAAACACAATCTTCTATTAAAAATTACCACATGTACCCCAAACCATTACTGTAAAATTAGTTAATCACTAAGCACTAATTTTCTATGCAGTCTTTGCACGGATGGCAGCACGCTTGCCAGTCACAGCTTGGAAACCAGATTTAATGCTAGCCACTGAACAACGAGACCCACATGTCTCACATTGAAGGAAGAATAATCTAGTATCTTTCTGTAAAATTGTATNCTATTAAAAATTACCACATGTACCCCAAACCATTACTGTAAAATTAGTTAATCACTAAGCACTAATTTTCTATGCAGTCTTTGCACGGATGGCAGCACGCTTGCCAGTCACAGCTTGGAAACCAGATTTAATGCTAGCCACTGAACAACGAGACCCACATGTCTCACATTGAAGGAAGAATAATCTAGTATCTTTCTGTAAAATTGTATCAGGGGAGCGGCATGTATGACATGTTACATACTCTTTTATATACCGACGTAAAACATTCTCTATCTGTTTTTGTTGGAAGCGACCTTTGATAATTAGTTGACTGTTTCCATCCACTGAACCACTAGTACCCAATTCCGCCAGAAGAAAATCCAACAAATGCTTGGCCTGCCGATGCAAAGTTTTACAAATTTCCGTAAAATTGGCAAAGGAGGTTTTCTTTGTACCAATTCGGACTACTTGGGGTGGTCTCATTATGAACTTTTGCTTTTTACCAGATACCATGCTTGGGTTCTTTTCCCGCATAATATCAAAAACTCGTTCTAGAAGTTCGTCATATGAGTAATCATGATCACTTCCAACCCATTCACCGTGCTCATCTTCCACATTTTCTTGATCTTCTCCTCTGACATCTTCTTCTGTGACCAGTTCATCTACATTTTTATCCTTCTTCCTCTTTTTCTTTTTCGTCTTAGTGAAATCTATATCCAAATCTAGATCATCCATTACTTCGTCTTCCTGCGCTTCCGGTTCTTCGGTTGGCGGTGTTTCAGGCAAGGCATTTTCTAATTCTCCGAGATTGAAAAATGTCTTCTTCTTTTTCTTTTTCTTTTTGCCAAAATTGTCTAAATCGAGGTTATCGTCTTCGGGCGCGTCGACGTCACCTGTATCTGCGGGTGTCTCCATACTCGTGCTCTCACCTTGCTCACCAGCAAGAGCAGCTTCTAAATCAAAACCAGTCTTCTTTTTCTTTTTCTTCTTCAACGAAGGATCAAATATCATATCGTCGTCCATGTTTACTAAAAGGCGTTGTTCTCGTAAAAGAAACTAAATTTTTGGTTAGAATAGGAGACGATTGAGCAGTATTGTAGAAGGCTAATGTCAAAATAATGTCAAAAAGTTGCATCAGATTCGTCGTTCAAAAATGTACCGTACCGTAATTTTTTTTTCTCTCGCAATTACTGACGTCTATGATATTTAGGCTTCTNTCATATCGTCGTCCATGTTTACTAAAAGGCGTTGTTCTCGTAAAAGAAACTAAATTTTTGGTTAGAATAGGAGACGATTGAGCAGTATTGTAGAAGGCTAATGTCAAAATAATGTCAAAAAGTTGCATCAGATTCGTCGTTCAAAAATGTACCGTACCGTAATTTTTTTTTCTCTCGCAATTACTGACGTCTATGATATCTAGGCTTCTTTTAGTAGTCGTTTCTATACATAAACTAATATTTTGTATAGAGGGATGGCAACCGGGGATTGAGTCAGCTGACCAATAAATCATATTTAGATAGTAGTAAATCAAGATTCTATTAGAATGTAAGCATAAAATATTTACAATTATTTTTGATTCTGGTGCTTTACTCGTAAAGTACTATAAAATCTACTGGAGCATTGAGTTGATTTGTGGCTAAAGTCGCAACAGGAGAGAAGCAGGGCGGAGCTTAGAGTATATCATTTTGGAAGGTAGATTTTTTTCCTTCCGGAAAGAGTGAGTCACCTCTCCTACTTATGGAAAGTAGAAGAGGTGACTCAACCCAAATGACTATCACATTCATGAAACTGAATTAATTAATTATCAATATCGCACAAATAAGAACAAAACGTTAAAGAACTGTTTGTGATATATTTGATGATTTGATTTAAATGATGTATTATTTCTAAACTTTCAATGTAAAATAAAACAATTGAGTACCTTAAGACGATCTTAAACATTTAGCATTGAGTACCGTACTGTTTAGGTACTACTCTCAAATAAAGAGAATACATAAAAATTGTTCTAATTCTCAAAGAGCTTAGAGCATAGATTATACATTTAATATGTTTAGAGATGATTTAGTCTGTATTACTGTGTATATCTGTCAAAGTCTCAGACTTTTTGGCGGGAACGCGAGGATTGAAGTTGTGTGATTTGTTTTATTTTGTCTATTTAGTGTTTCTTCAGGTTTAAATGTGTAATAATGGTGGTTTATTAACTGTTTAATATCTGTAAAAGTGCAGAAATGTGGGAAAATGAAACAAAGCTGCTGGACGTAACTTCTCGGGTTCCTCCAAAAAGTCCACTGAAAAAATCTCAGTAAATGACCACCATTTTACTGCGATTATATTTCATCCCATATCATCTCATTTCATTAAATTTCATCCCAGTTGATTAATGTCTCAAATTAATCATCTTCATTTCATTTCACTCTATATTATCATTTTTCATAAAATTAAGAAAATAAAGTAAAATAAGACATGACTTAAAGGTCTCAGTTACCAGGTCATAAAATCTCTTAAAAAAAAAATGTCAAAGTCTCAAAAAGTCAGTCGTCTTTAATTAACCTAAAATTAGTCAAAACGTCTAGTTTCCAAAAATAAAATAAGCAAATAAATTACCAATTTCATACTTTAAAAAAAAATTAATATAATTAAAAATTAAAAATAATTAAATTTTTATCGCCACTTTCTCTTAGGAGATATCTACATAAACTAAGAAACAAATAACTCAATAGGAATTCTGATTTATGGGTATATCGAATTGCAATTCGATATGCATATAATTAAATTACACCGATCATTATTGAAAATAAAGAATGCCATTCCAAGATACTCTACTATTACGGCTCTTGAAGAAAGTGAATACACCGAGACACCGGAGTATCCCCCTATACTGGATATGACTCGGGAAGGAAAATTATTGCGTCGAAGACAAAGTTTTCAAAGCAAAATACAAGAACTAAACACGATAGAAGAGAAACAAATAGCCTTAAATATGCCTCGTTATTATGGATGGCAGTGTATAATGTTGAACAATGATAAAGTTCCGTACAACGCAATGCCCTTAGTACAGTATTATACTAGGAGTCATTTCATACCGGTCGCTAAACTTCCGGAAGCATACAATGAAATCGAACAACAAGCTAGTAATATTCTTCAAGAAATCAAATCACAAATAGAAGATGCCATAGCTATTGAATTAACTGATGTTGAGTAAGTAATTGAAATTAGTTTAAAGTATAATTGTCAATTTACGCAATTGGAAAGAAACATGACATTGATTACACAAAAATATTTAGTTGGTTTGGTTTGGTTAAACTAAAATGCCTACTTGATATTGACTACTTGATACCTTCACAACAAGATCAAATGTGTGTTGTTTGATTAATTTATAAACCTAGATACAAGCTTAAGTTTATTATTAATTTATCAAGCATTTAAAAAAAATTTCAGGAGGAACTTCAAATTCTTACAAGATAAATCTATAAAAATGCAACAAGAAGATACAATTACAAAATGTGTTGTGAGACAAATAAACAGAATTATAATGAACAATCTCAGTGATAACTTGCCTCATATTTTGTCAACACAGGTATTTGATTTAATAATTACTTAGCATACATGGAAACTTTAGACCAAGGCGACATATAGACTAGGATAACAATAATTTTATGGGTAACTTTTTATAAGTAAAGGTTATGTTATGAGCATGTTAAAACATGCTCCTATAATTACAACTACTGTCAGAGAGATAAAATATTTCTAATGTATATTTGTTCAGAATGACATTATACACCGTCCACAGGGACAGATGTGGCAAATTTAATTAATATTTAATTGAAACATGCTTTATCAATAGCATATTTAACAATCCTTCAATTTTTTCTTCAATTTTCCATATCAAAAGAGAATATTATAAAACAAAAATCTCCAAATCACTTTACCAATGATATCTATTGTATTGTATATTGTCTGTTACGTAATTTGAGATTGTGTATTGTAATAAGATTCTTAGAATATATTATAGTAGTANTAATTAATATTTAATTGAAACATGCTTTATCAATAGCATATTTAACAATCCTTCAATTTTTTCTTCAATTTTCCATATCAAAAGAGAATATTATAAAACAAAAATCTCCAAATCACTTTACCAATGATATCTATTGTATTGTATATTGTCTGTTACGTAATTTGAGATTGTGTATTGTAATAAGATTCTTAGAATATATTATAGTAGTAGCAAATGAGCAGTTTTGAGTAAATAAGCATCTCCAAATTTCATAATACTTTTAGCAAAAACCGTGTACAGTTGGGGATAATGAATTGAGAGCTTATGGAAATTCTTGGACTATTGTTATACTTTTCCTCCAGCATCCTTGAGTCCATTCTAAACTACCTATTTGATTTTACCTACCTGTTTTTTTTTTATTCTAAGAAATACTTATATAATTTAAAAAAAAGTCTGAAATAGTTTGAAATCTATGATCTTGCTATTTTACTATGCATAGCTGGCAATATATTCTTAATTAAAATGAGGAACTGGATACTATAATGGAGAAGCTCAAGTCTAGCATAATTGATTACATGTATTGTCAATGTAAGTTTACTAAGTTTTTTTTATTAATGAATGTCATTGTAGACAGATGAGCAAATGCACCATACAGTGAGTGGTTACCATCGCTCATGAAAGTCAGCAGTGTGGGGCCATTGCCAAGCTTCTGATACTGTAAATATATAAAGAATGCAATATCAACTGATTCTAGCTGTGCAAGTTGATTATCCAGTTAATTGCTGTTGTATTCACATGATGTTTTTAAGTTATTTTTCAATGCTGATGTTTTTAAATTATTTTTCAATGCTGGAGAAATTTGTTTTGCCTAATGCCAGTTCTAGATCATTGAAGGTATTTGATTTTATCTTGAATTGTCCTCTTTTTTTCTTGAAATGTGAATTTTATTTTTTTACAATAATATGCATATCTCTATAAGGTATTTTTCTGTCATTTGCGAAATTAATTCATTTCTTTAACTATGAAGTGATAGGAAATGTTATTCATGGACGTACGGTTCTTACTGTAATTCAGACCTGCCATATCTACTTCTGCTGTTCAGCAATTCTGCATTATGCTCTAGAAAATAGGTGACCATTAACACAGCTTATACAATCATAATTATTATTTATTACAGATTGATTATGATGCTCGTCATGAAGCATTTTGGCATATTGGTGGTGTTGATCCCCCGACCACAACAGTAAAATGGCGAAAAGAAAATAAATGGCCAAAAAGTACACATTATGAAAGTACAGATAGGCCTGTACAATATATTGGTAAGAATTTAAAAAATTTAATAGCAACGTAAAAATTAAATAACAATTAAAACTTGATCACATTCTTTAATTCAAAAGTAAAAGTGTAATAGTTTTTTTGTTTGCCTATCAAAGCGTAGCAGATCAATTTAACTATTTTATGTAGAGTTCCATGTGCTACAAAGCTAGTAGCAAAGCTGCCACATCTGCAAGGCACTAGCTACTCTTGAATTGTTAACTGTCCTTTGGAGCTCTGTGCTCGGGCAGCTGTTACTAAATCCCGCCTCTCCTGGCTGAGCCTTTCCTCACTCACCTGTCCTAGTGAAACTGGAAAGGCCACCAGTAATCCCTCATTCATAAAAAAGCAAAGCTGTATGTACATAGCATATTACTATACTATGTACTATATAATAAAATTTCATTCCAGACAATTATTTCATTATTTTGTTTTATAACTTTGTATTATCAAATTCTTGATACCAATTGCCAAAGTTATAAGAACACTTAGTATTTAAATATTTAAAAATTATATTTATTAATATGACTTATGTGTTTCTGCATCTACCTATAAATAGTGGTCACTGACTACTTACCGTTAGGTGGTCTATAGACCATAATGAGGGTTTACGACCTTCGGTATTAAGGGAACGGGTGACGCTAGGTGAAGAAAGAAAAGAAATAGATATCATAAAGCCCTTTTTTAAATAAAGTAATTATATACAAGATATTTAATAATCTTATATAATGATTATCAATTATTGTACATATCTAGATTTGGTAGTCATTTTAATGATATGAGATGAGTAGTATTATAATTTCACCTAAAGTACTATTAATATTTGTTTAAAAAGCTAATGACTAGACAAAAATAATTGAATTACCTAATTTTCAAACTAGGGTCACCAATACTAACTCTGAGAAATCGCCACCCACTAAAGCCGCTGATCCCATATAGCGAAGCAGAGAATCCGGAATTCAAAGTNTTTGGTAGTCATTTTAATGATATGAGATGAGTAGTATTATAATTTCACCTAAAGTACTATTAATATTTGTTTAAAAAGCTAATGACTAGACAAAAATAATTGAATTACCTAATTTTCAAACTAGGGTCACCAATACTAACTCTGAGAAATCGCCACCCACTAAAGCCGCTGATCCCATATAGCGAAGCAGAGAATCCGGCATTCAAAGTTGATAAGTTTACTACTATACCTGGCAGTGTTGGTTACTTTCGTGAATTTCGTCATGGAACTAATATACCAGGTATGTTCTTTATTTCGTTATTTAATATTTGCGATGAGTAATGTTTAATTAGGATTATCAAAATTATTGTAGGATCTTTATTTTATTATGTTCAATGAATGAAGAAACTTCTTTTTTGTTTTTTTTTATATTTTTATTGTCTTTGTAAGCAGACGACCATAAGGCCCATCTGATGGTGTGTGGTTCGGTAATAGACGTCAGCAATGCTAAGGCAACAGCCGAGTCTTTGCCTTGGCATTAGCTCTCGTATTGGACCTGGAAGCGGCGTAAAATTTCCGCCTTTTCTCTGTAATGTTAGGATTACTGGCTTTATTAAGACTCCAAGAACCACCACCTCCACAGATGGGTACTGCTGAAGTACGTGGTAAGTCCCCTCTTGTACATGCTCCAACAGAGTTGAATTGTACAGGCAAGCGTAGATTCGGGTACAACCCCCCTAGTCTACATGCATCAACAAGAGATCAAGACCTACCGGTACCCCTACTAAAGGGCATAGAGATTGAACCAAGAATTACTTCACCTTGGGGCAGGTCGAAGTTACAGATACCGCGGAGACCGGCATCGTTGGTTGACGACTATCACCTCGACGTCCCGATCAGGAGTCCTCGGAGTAGCGCCGCGAGTCTTGGTGTAGTGTTGATCCCGGGAACCCCCCTACTCTGACCGAGTTCTGACCTCGGGCGGATATCGGGTTTCGGGTGTGAGAATGTAGGGAAGTAGTCGTTAAGTGCGGTAGCGTCCTAAAAATAACCTTGGGCCCGCGGTTCGGAGTCGCGGCCCAGTCCCACATAAAACGCGCGCCCCCAGGCACGGGAACTTCGTAGGAGGTTCGGCCCACGGCTCGAAAAAAAAAAGTTCGAAGTTACAGTTGATGATGTCGCACAATTTCTGAAGATATGAAATAAAAGAAAATATGGAAGAACGATACATAATAAATAGTAGTAATAGCAGCTCGAGAAGTCCGATATCGCACGCCCTTGTTGGCGAACTTTTAGTTGAATAGATTAACATAATAAACGACTTATGGTACACAAAATTGAACCTAATTTAAACCAATCTTTTGAACTAATTCACTATGATGTACTCAAATCTCAATAATCTGTATTTTAATGTTAATTTACTATTTTATTTTATACGATTTTAATTTTTTGTATTGTTCTAGGTTTTTGGCCAGGAGATATAGATGAATTCGGTTTATTGTCATACCATGGTCGTGGTCATATACTAGACAGGAAAACGTCATTTGGCGAGCAAGATAATATTGAGGCGTTACACTGTCAAGCAATGAAAGCTAGCTTTGGTTGGTTATTAGCTCAAGCAAATTATCAAGGTTTCACCACATTCAATGATTTGACGTACCCACTTGTGACACAAACCGTGATCACTAATGGTAAACTTTGGTCTTTGTATGCATACCAATTAAATACAATTGTTATGCATAATGATACGGTAGACAGTAATCCCAAACATAACATATGTTTCGGGACGAAACCTCTTCAATTGTATGAAACGATTGAGAATGGAAAAGTGCTTGGTCTGAATGAAGACGTCCTAAAAATGTTACTGCAGTTCTACATGAATGCACCGGCAGAGCGCGATCATGCAATGAAACCATATTTAGGTAAAGACGAAAAGGTGGTAGCCGATATTGAAGATGACAATAGGCGCTGTTGGTTAGAGGAGAGGTACAAGTATTTAGTGTCTAACAGACCCAAACATAGTCTGATACCTGAAGTCTACCTTTGGGAAAAAATATACAAGATTCAACATAATACAAGATTCTTTGAAGCGAAAAGGAGGCCATTTGAGCGTGGAATCAATCCCTTCAATAGAAGATTAGATGATCATATATCACCTTACATACCCAAAGTACTCAGGGAATATCCCAGAAGCAAAAAGAAGTTTGAAGCAACATACTACCCTCAAGTTTGAAATCATCGTGAATAAATCGTTTAAAGTTACAAAAATAAACAAAAAATTACTAGTTTGATTTAAAAAAATTGTAAGATTATCATTTCCATCCCATTTCTTGAAATCTTACAAAATTTCAAAATTACATTGTTAAAAGAAACTGCCTAGTAGTGTTAGACCAAACTGTCATTGCCAGTCAAAATTGAAATCCTTATATAAATCCTTCAGACACAGTCCACTGAGCTTCTCGTCGGAACTTCTCAATGGGTCGCGTTTCCGATCCGGTGGTAGATTCTGCGAAGCCCTGCTCTTGCTAGGGCTAATGTAAGCAACGTCCTAGGTTACAGCCTCGTGAATTCAACTACTCGTCGGTAAATCTAGCATGGCCCCTAAGGTCACTAGAAAAGGTAGAAAAAAAAAGGTTACCAGAATAGGTAGAGAAAAAATAATTCACGAAACGGTTTTTTTTTGTAAAATGCTTTTGATAGGTCGAGTGCTTACCATAACGTTCTTACATAATTAGCATGTTCCCGTACCCGATCCTGTAGACCGAATGATAAACAGTCGACGTCGCCCAAAGCACGTCATTACGGATCCTCCCGATTCATTAACGGTGCTTTTAGGCACCACGAGCACCGGTCACCGTCCTCGTGGATGAAGGGCTCGACGAGCGAATTAACCCATAGACACAGTCCACTGAGTTTCTAGCCGGATCTTCTCAGTGAGTCGCGTTTCCGATCCGGTGGTAGATTCTGCGAAGCACTGCTCTTGCTAGGGTCAGTGTTAGCAATACTCCGGTTTGAGCCCCGTGAGCTCATCTACACATATTAAGGTGAAGCTGAAATAGCCTCTCAAGGCTATCAGCATAGGTAGAAAAAAAAAGCGTGTTGATTGGTATTTTTATTGTCATTTAAAAGGTTTTTTTTATTGCCCTGGAAGGCAGACGAGCATACGGCCCACCTGATGGTGAGTGGTTACCGACGCCCATGGATTTCAGCAATGGCAGGGGCAGAGCCAAGCCACTGCCTACCGCTTAAATTAATACAGTCTACCAACGAAAATGAAGTAAGAATCTGCAATCGTTTATGCTGCCACTTCCTTATGACGAAGTATGGAGCCTTAATTGTATAGATAAAGGGCATGACTATTTCTGGGCAAAGATAAGCATACTGAAATGAAATACGTACATGCACAAATAGTCAATGCGCCTAACCAGTAGCTTTGTACGCAAATTTGTAAATCTCGCGAGATTGATTTTTTATTACAACGTGTTCGCCCATAACCGTCGAAGCCTTGTAAACCATAGATATCAATACACTTAGCATTTGTAGTAAACTGAGATTAGCACGTAACTAAAAATGGTACCCACCTTCAGGTTTTGCATATCGCGACGGTCACATCACTATTCTTTCACGATACTTCGATAATAATCTCTGTAGTATTTATTCGGCTATCGCGAGTCATAGATGTAATTAATATGAATTACTTTTACATGAATTTCTTTTAAACTCGCCTTTATAAACTTGTAAATAGTAATAATAATAATAAACATTTATTCCAATGACGAATTACAAAAATTCAACAAAATTAAAATAAAGAGGCTTGGAAAAGGTTACCGGCTCAGCAATGCATATCAGTAGCGACTCAATCGGTACTTCGGCGTTGATCTGATCATTAATTGAGATTAGCAATTAAAAAAAAAAGTTAAAACGTGTTAAACTTTGTTATAAACAATATTTAACAGCAGGCCAGGGTAGGATCTCGCTTGAATCCAGACCTCTCCAAGTTTTCGACTTTTTGGAACTCCCTAACCGTGGCCGCCACTAGCTGATTTGGCCTACGCAACAGCCAGTCACCGTCGACACATTAAACACATTCTTGCAGATCGACCCGATCAGCTCTCAGGGTTATTAGACGTTTCTAGTTTTAGAACTAGAAACGTCTAATAACCCTGAGAGCTGATCGGGTTAGCCCTAGGAGCACGCGTAACACAGGTCACCGTGCTCATCGAAGAGTTCGACGTGAAACTAGCCAATGGCACCAACTCGTTCAATTTCTTGATGGTTCTCCTTCGCAGGTCGCGTATCCGATCCGATAATATATGCAAAGCAGCTGTTTTTTTTTGTGATTGAAGGATTACTGGTGGCCCTGAGGCCTTTCCAGTTTTACCAGGATAAGTAGCTGTTCTTGAGTTATTAGTTCTCCTCCGGACCAGTTAACAGAGTTAACCACATCGCTCCTTGCTGAGCTCGTTCTCGCCCAACCGACCCGAAGTTGGAAAGGCCTCTGGGCCACCAGCTATCCTAAAAAAAAAGCTTAACTCACATACAGCCAAGAACTATGGAAGCTATAAAAATTTTTGGGTTTCATTTTTATGACCCGATGCCATTATTCCATCGTGGGATTCTCGAACAATTTTATTTTATTAATGAATTGATTAGGTACATATTTTTAGAAAAATTGATACATGCATGCAAGATTGAACATCGGCATTGTTGTAATGCCAACCATAATACCAACCATAAAAGCATCGTACCAACAACCACACTACTAAGATATGGAGTGCACCGAGTGATTCATTTAAGCTAGACTTGCGATCCGCTTATATAATATAAATATCGAGCATCATTATTTCCTATTGTGCATAGTTGACATTGTTTTGGGCGGAAAATTAGGATTGAAGTTACGCTATTACCGGTCTTTTTTTTTCAATTTTGTGTCGTTAGTTTGTTTGCTTTCATCTACGGTAAAAAAATCCTTTTTCTCCATTTCACTTTTCTTTTATAAGGTGTAGACGTGGCTTTACTCTTTTACAACAATATAAAGAATTAGCTTCATTAGGTTTGGAAAAGCACCTTTCTTGTTTTGTAAAAATCAAGTTATTTATTTAATTTCATTTTATTTCCTTGAGTTCCATTTCATTTAACATACATGTTTTCAGGGCTTTGTTTTAAAATAATAGGCTGTATGTGCTATGTGCCCTTTGTAAATCTATTGGTCGATTCGACAAAAAAAATACTCATGTGTTTTTGTTATCATTGTTGTGATTTTTAAACTGAAAATGAAGAATCTGCAACTTTGGGATATTTCTATTAGAGATTTTTGTGTTCATTTTGAAGAGAAAGCTGTTATATGTCATGGCCGTGGCGACGGAGGCTCATCAAGTGATATATTTGTTTGTGGAAATAACCTTATTTTATGCAATTTTGATGAAAATTGCCAGAAAAAGTGGTTTAAGGATGTTTCTGAATACATATCTCCTGAAAATAGCCCTGTGAATATATGTTACCTGTCGCTTCAAAACTCACTATGCATCGGTTTTGCGAATGGAGAGTTATTGGCCATAGGTGATTCCGGTGTCACGTGTGAAACAGTTGGAATCTTCAATACTGGATTACTGGTAAATTAAAGTTTTTTCACTGTGAAAATGTGGATTTGCTGACAATATTGATAATTTCTGATAAAAAGTAATTAAAATGGACAGACAGGAAAAGAAAAAATATAAAGTGTTAAAGAATTAGTGATTTTTGTGCAGAATAAAAATACAGATGAAATGGTTGTTTTTGATGTTTAATCCTGATTTAGGCTTATCGATAACTTTGTGTTCGTATCACCAACAATTTCAGAAATTTATTATTATTTATTCGGTTTGCTTTTTAATGTACACTCTTATACCTTCATAGCATTGTGAACACATATTTTAGTACCTTTAAATAAATAAATGAAAGCCTGAGATTTTTTTATTGTTTAAGTATTTACTTTACAGGCCATGGAATGGAGTCCTGATCAAGAATTATTAGCAATTGTCACTAAAGAAATGCACATGGTCCTATTGTCTTGCACATATGATCCAATTAATGAAATTAAATTGCACAATCAAGAGTTTGGTGAGAAGCAGTTTATAACTGTTGGGTGGGGCAAAAAAGAAACACAGTTTCATGGATCTGAAGGGAAACAGGCAGCTAAAATAAAAAATGACATCGTTTCAGGTGAGACCCTTTCTAAAATTAATGCACATGAGAATAAATGCTATTATAGTTTATTTATGACATTAAATATTTATTTATATTTTTAGACGACTCGACTGCCAGTGATAAAGTTAAAATTACCTGGAGAGGAGATGGTAATTTGTATGCCATTGGTTTTGCAATGGATGGGTTTAGACATTTTAAAGTTTTTGACAGAGAAGGTCATTTACTATACACAAGTGAAAAGCAAAAAGGTCTAGAAGACAATATTGTATGGCGTCCAAGTGGGAATGTAATCACAACAACACAAAAAATTGAAAACCAGTATAAAGTAACATTTTTTGAAAAGAATGGTCTCAAACATAGAGAGTTCAGTATTCCAGTAGAACATGGTACATATGTTGAAAATATCATGTGGAGCTCGGACTCTGAAATATTAACTCTGCAATGTAAAGATACAGAAACAAACACACAAAAAGTATTATTATACACAACATCAAATTACCATTGGTATTTGAAACAAACATTGTTGTTTAGAAGTAATCAACGCATCAATAAAATCATCTGGGATAATGATTTTGACATATCAAACAACAAAAAAATGCATATTATTTTACAAAATGGATCTTATTTGATATATTCATGGATTTGGAATATTGATCACAGTAAAAGTAATATTGATAATGATGATGCTGTTGTAGTTGCTATTGATGGAGATAAATTATTGATCACTGGATTTAGACAAACTGTAGTACCTCCACCAATGGCATCACTTGAAATAAAATTGGAATCTACTGCACAGGCAATATGTTTTGCACCAAAAAACGAAAATGTTAACCCAAATTCATTCTTTGTAATTACAGTAGATAACAAATTACTTTTTTACTCACAAAAAGAGAAACATCCACTCAATTATGAAGCATATAACTCTCAGCAATTTGACAAATCTGATTTTCCATTCCAATACCATCACTGGCTCTGGGTAGACTCTCAAACAATAGTGTGTGCTATGACAGATGAAAAGTCAACCTCTGTTATAGAACTGACTATGGTGAATGAAAAACTTGTTAAAAGTAACAGTGTACATGTAAGAGGTGTTGTGACACAAATACAAGCACATC